AATAATAATAGTACTCAGAAAGAGTGCAAAAATATTTTTGTATGAACTTTATTGGCAGATTAATATATTTAAATTGTTTTATCTCGACTGGAGTTACTTCGCCATAAATAAATTTTATAACGTTCGTACAAAAATATTTATATACTCTTTTCGAATAATTGTACGACTACAACAAACATTGGAATCGTTTTTTACTTTATAGACTCCAAAAAAAAAAAAAAACCTAAAGTGTGCTCAACACACCTGAAAGACCTATGAACCGTTAGAAAGGTATGATGAAACGCAAAAAGACGTAATACGAAACGTAACCGAGAAATCAGAGTACGGTATCGAGAAAATAAACAAATAAAAAGGGAACACATCAAGTCTGAAATGAAAATTTTATTAACCTTATGCCGGGCAGGCATGTAGCATCACTGTGACATCGTGAGTCTTAAATTTCTTTCATCTTTAATAATTCTTGATTACCAAAAATGGACAGAATACCTGGCGGTCGCGACGATTTCCTTTCCCGTAGGCGACGTATATAAGATATTTTTGTTTATTATTTAGTCTTTTAAATTCGCGCGATAGAGCAGCCAGAGGGAGGTTCGCGGCCTACTACATCGGGGAAAACGTCGCGTCGACAGGCGGAGTTTATTATTTATATTCAATAAATATTACATACAGTAATACGTTCATTACCGATAGCGTTAGTATTGTTCTAATTGGACAGAAGTTGTTGGTTGTGTTTGTAGTTCACAATTTGGGCGAAATTTTTACGATTATAATCTTAATTGTTAATTGCGTTATTATTTCTCTCTCTCTCTCTCTCTCGCTCTCTCGCTCGCTCTCGTCTTTTTCACTCGCTTCTTGCTTTCTTCCTTCGCTTCATCGCGTCCCTCCATACTCTACACAATCTATTCCGTGAATTAAAAAAAATATGATAGTAGTTATCGTCGTTTGATTTTGTCACACCGAGACGTATCACGGGGTTTACATATCGTTTCGCGTCTCGGGAGAGTCCGTTTTTTTTTATTTTCTTCGTCATTTTTCGTTTCGAAAAAAACGGTTTACACATATATATATATAATATACCGTTGGTGTGGATTTCTTCAGAGTCATGCGAAAAATGAAATCGATCGCCACCCGTGCTGAGCAAATCGCGTTGAAATGTATCAAATATATATATGTATATTATATATAGTTCCTCGCGATAAGTTTGTGGTGTCGGTGGTGGTGGTGTGGGGCGGGGGTAGGGGTTGGGGTATACGCTTATTGCGAACAAACAAATTAACGTTCTGCCTTCTGCCAACGAAACACGAATTGAACAAAATTAAGCAAGCTCGTTTATGTCGATTCTTCTACTATCTAATAAAACTTACGAATCTAGTATTGCGATCCTAGAACGGGCACGTTCGCATCTTCGTATCGGTTCCGATCGTCGTACGCGATCTGTTCGCGTCGCGCAAACGCGCCCGATTTGTTCGACGAACTGCGCCGTATTATAAATTAAAAGTGTGTTACGTTCGCGTATAAACACAATGGTGGACAGAGGATGTATGTTACAATAAAAGGAACTTAACAGATTTCGCTAAAAAAATACAATATATGAAACAATTGTATACATATAAAATCTTCAAATAATCTACACAACGCGGTAATTCGTATTCAAAGGATCTTGGGCGTTCCTCCTTCCACGTGTCGAGCCACATCTCCAACGATTCAAATTACCACCGTGGTAATTTTGGAGAGTGTGTGTATGGGTATATATGTTCGTGTGTGTGTGTGTGTTTGTGTCACCAGTGATGAATTTATAAAAACGCCAATTTTTTATCACTGACGACTGTATTCACTTGATATTTGTGGATGCGAATTTGGTTGCTTAATCACTATGGAATTATTTCTTTAAATTGCAGTTTGCGCCTCGACGATCGTGTGTGTTGCGATCGAGGCTCGTGGGTTCTTCTTTTTCTCAGGGGGTTGTAGGGGGCGCTGGTGGGGGGGGGGGCCCCCGGGGGAAAAATCATTATCAAACTCGACTTTTGTTTCGTTTTTTCTTCTCCCATTTTTCGACAGCCTTAGACAATGTACAATTCGTTATAATCGCGAAACTGAAACGACGTTCTCCTCTCTTTATGTAAAAGGTAAATGGCTCATCATCCCAGTCGTTAAAATAAAAATTGTGGAATGCATGTACAAATCATTAAAATCATCGTCGCTGACTTCTCGATACATAAAGACCAACTATGTATCGACTCCCCTACGCTACTGAAAATTGCGAAGTAGATTACTATGCTTTTTCTCGTTATTTCAGCATGTTCCGCTCGAATCGGGAACATCCCATGCCTTTTCTTCATATTTTTTTTCTTTTTTTGTGTGATACACATTAATGACCTAATATTTCAAGTAATATTTGTAAGTATTAATAATCCATAGCTGCCCTAACGTCTAAGGGACTGAAACACTGCTGCTACACATATCATAGGCATGTAGCAATTAGGATATTTAGTGACTTATTAGTTAAACGAAGTTACGGTGAAGCGGGTGTGATCCGTTTACTTGCCCCGTGGAGAAGATCGTGTGCCTGTCGTTGAGAGGCCTTCTCCTCGGCTCCGACTTCTGTGCAAGGAATGTAAACCCTCACCTGAAACACCATCGATCCACGATTAACCTGATCATAATAGATCGTGACATTGGTACAGGGTAAAAGGAGGAAAACTAATTTGCATTTAACGCTAAACCTAGAACGATAATATTAATTGTATGTAATTGTATATAAAATAAATAAATTGTAGCATTATAATAGTAGTTGACGTGGTAGTAAAGTGAATAATACATGGAAGAATTATATATACAATATATAAATAATATACAGTATACAGTTGTTACATGTGCTATTCAATTTGGTACTACGTCAACTATTTTTGCATTAAATTGAAAAAGGTGCCTTTAAGACTAGTCATTTGAACGATTGCGATAGATACAGGCATAAATAGAATGTAGGTAGATTTAGTGTTAAAGACGAAGTAATATTGCAAGGTATTGTAGTCTTGAACGACGACAGATATTAATTATTTTACTATTAAATGACAATGTTAATAAGGAAATGTTCAAATGGTAACTTTCAGCTTGCTCAAGTGCTTTGTAAAATATATACAGAGTCAGTCACCTAAGCTTTGTACCTTGTATCATCACTTAATAATAAAAATATTCAATCTCATTTAAAAACCACCAATGATCTAGAAATCTCGGAGAATATGACCTCCAGATAAATTGATTTGCGTACCACAATATTATATCAGCCTCGAAATCAAACATTTTCCTCTTGAACATCTTCGTATCATTAAAAGCAACGGAGAAATTTTAGATACCAAAATTTAAAAGATTCACCCTGTATACGTTTTCCGTTGGCCTTGAGAGCCACAGGACAAAGACATTTGTGTTTAGGTCGGAATCCGCTTCAATAGAGTCGCAAAAACTTGAGAAATACCAGGAAACAACCTCGAGGCGTACGAAATTCTCGCGGTTGGAATACCAGTGATAAGAGTAGCGGGGTGGAAGGAAGGGCTCCTCGGTCGTTTTCGGGTTGAGATCGGATCAACGCGCAGTCGTCCTCGATCTCTCCAAGCGGTCGCGTCGCGTGAGACGGCTCGCGTGTTTATTCGCGATTAAATCAAACGGTATCGGTATTAAATTGTTTCGGCTGACAATTTTCATGTGATATACACATACTTCGTCATTCAAAAATCTGGACACTTTCTCAATTCTAATAACTATTTAAAATAATTGTAGGTTCGCGTGTTTATTCGCGATTAAATCAAACGGAGTAAACGGTATCGGTATTAAATTGTTTCGGCTGACAATTTTCGTGTGATTTACATATACTTCGTCGATTAAAAAATGTGGACACTTTCTCAATTCTAATAACTATTTAAAACAATTATAGATTCGCGTGTTTATTCGCGATTAAATCAAATGGAGCAAACGGTATCGGTATTAAATTGTTTGTGCTGACAATTTTCGTATGATTTACACATACAGTATCACTAAAAAATATACGATGACTTAATTCTAATAACTATCTGAAAAGTTACGACTATCATTTAATGAATTTCACTGAACCTTACGTATTCTACTATATGCTACAAGTATATTCGATCAATAATTCATTAAAATATCTCTCTAATAATAATAGAAACTAATTATATCGATCTTCGCTACGTACGTTTGCTATTAATTTTTGTATAATATTCGTACCTCTGCTAACGCTTCTGCGCATCGGTGCAGATTGAGGAAGAGTGAAAGTGTAGTGCCTAAGTGCTCTGCCTCGTTTGTCCTGGATTAATTTGTCCACTTTTACGAAGATCCCGCATTTCGGTCGACACGTGAAGTACCTATGGCCGTTCACAGCACCATCGTTTTTGCCTGGAACAATCACCGAATCATTGAGTTCTTTGAATCCAAGAATGGTCAGCGTTCGCATTCAGTACACATTCTGAAGCATTGACGATTTAAATATGACCTCCAAGCGAGACATCGCAAAGAAAAGCGATCACTATACAACTAGCACGATAGTAAAATGGCTATCAGTCTTCCAAGTCGATATAGAAAGGAATGATCAAGAATCTTACCAGTCGGGGCGTCAAGTTCGATTCCTATCCACGATCCAGACGCGAACTCTGTCGGACCAACGTACGCTATCACTCCTGAATAACTATAGGGACGAACCAAGACGGATTCGCCAACTACAACCCAGTCTGGGAGCGGTGTTTCGACCCTGCTCAAATCGTGCCTCGAACCGAAAGCTGAACTCTTGTCGCTAGTGTCGTCTGCTATCGAAATACAAGAAAAGAGTGTTAATATCAAGTTGCGAAGATGTACGGGATCTGTTATTGATGAAGAATGCCAACGTACCGTCGATTCGTTCAGAGGAGCTGTTGTCGCCGTTTTCGTAGGGCATGTTGGGTTGCATCGATTGTTCCAGTCGTGCTGCAGCTTTACTCTCGGAATGCTGTGGACGGACCATGGGGAACGAAGCTCTGTGCTGGGAACTGGTAGGCCTTCCTGTGCTGGCAGAAGCTTTCCTTCGTCGCACAACCTGGACAACAAGAAACCAGAATTAAAATCTTCGAAGGTATCAGATTTATGTATATATATTATATTATATGTATTATATATACATATATATATTTAATACTGACATATTTACTAACTTTTCTATATGTTGCACTTTATAAATAATTTAGTACACTCAATTTAGCTACACGTTCTTGTCCAAAGATTATAGTGGCACCATTTTGACATAATGCTTCTAATTAATAAATATTCACATAATTTTTAATCTTTTACACATTCTAATGTAGTACATGTTTAATACTGACTTATTTACTAACTTTTCTATTTACTAACTTTTCGAACTTCACTTCATAAATAATTTAGCACGCTCAATCTAGCTACACGTTCTTGTGTGAAGATTATACTGGGACCATTTTGACATAATTCTTCTAATTATTAAATATTCACACAACTTTTAATCTTCCATGCATTCTAATACAGTACATGTTTAATAGTGACTTATTTACTAGCTTTTCTATATACTGCACTTTATAAATAATTTAGTATGATCAATTTAGAACACCTTTCCTGTGTAAAGTTTGAAGTGGGATTTTGATCCAGTGCTTCTAATTAATAATTTATTATTAATTACCTTGCCCGGTGGCAGTTTGGTGTGAACGACCGAGTTGCCCTCCAAAGGGCTTTCCTCTCCGGAATTCGACGTCTGACTGACCTCCATTTCGCTTTTCCGTCGATTGCTCAGACCCTGACTCGACTGGTCCTTTTTCTGAACGGTGTTGGCGTGCGACGTGTTGCTGGTCGTATCGCTATCGCTTTTCGTTGAGGAGACTGGACTGTCCATATCCGCGTCCATGTAGACACCTGTGTCCTCCAGGTTCTTCCTAGTATGCTCTGTTAATTAACGAAACGTTTCAATAATATTGGGAGACAGAGACGATAACTTGGAGAGACACAGTAGCTTTGAACAATGTTCACTTTCAAATCCACGTTGAAGGAGAATTAAGATGAGTTGTAGGGAACCAGATATATGAATCGTGAGACTACAGTTTAGGGCTATCGTTGACTAAATTAGAACTCTACTTTTAGGTCTACGTTTAGGTTCTTCGTGTCGAGAAATAATGCTCGTTTGTGTGAAGCTGGTAGCTCACTTTGTGGAAGCTTAGAAATAATGAACAGTTTTGACTTCGTTTATCAAGTGTTATGTAGTTCCTGATCAAGTAAAGTTCTATCAATTAGGATTATTTAGAACTGTCCTTAACATGTTGAGAACTATCCAAGAACTCTTGTGGAGATAGATTGCTTCAATTTATCAGAAACTATAGAACTATTACAAATGAAGTCAGAACTCTTAATTATTTATGAGCTTCCACTAAGTTTCACACAGCCATTATTATTTTTACAAAGAGTAGAGATAGACTCATATCGTATAGGATATTTTTAGTTCAGACAGACCTATCGAAACTACAGTTTAGACTTTTCATTGACTATTTTAGACCTTTACCTGTAGGTCCCTCTCAGTACCAAGGAACAACGTTCATCTTTGTAAAGAGTACAGCTACTCACATCGTATAGGACTACTTTAGTTCAAAACAAACGAACCTACATTTCAAGGTTACCATTAACCAGCCAATAACTTGACCTTCTGATCCCTCTTAACTCTTTGTACTCGAGGCCTTTTTTCTGGTATCTATCAGCAACTCGAGATGCTTTCTTAGCATTCTATTGTCACGAATGCTAAGCTTAGATTAGCTTCGAAAAAGAGATCCTTAATTTGAGATTTGAGAATCAGGTCACCTTTGCCTCAACGACAATCGTTTTATTGACACTTCAAGTTCCAAAGAAATTAAACCTAAAGGAAAGCTAGTGATGACTCTCGACACACATCTCGAGTGCAAAGGGTTAACATCAAAAAACAATCCTCGTCTTTAAAAAGAGTACAGGTAGACTCACCTATATGACCTTCTCCCTTCATAACAACCTAACAAAACACCTTGCAAGATCGCTACTCTACTAACCCTCAGCACAGCTGTTCCCCATCACGTTCAAATTATCCAACGCTGTCGCCACCTCTCCCATGTACTCCTCAGGCGTCTCCTCCACCAAAGAGCTGTCCATTCGTTCCGTCTTCTTGCTGTCCAGTAGATTCCTATACTCCAGGTCCGGTGTCTCGTCCACGCTGATGGACTTGACCGACAGCGAGTCCTCGGACGTCAAGTTGGTGGTGGACACGGCTTGGGAACCGTAACCGCTGCTGCTCATGCTTGGCGTGCTGATCTTCGTCGATTGAAGTTCGACGAGAGAATCCAGTGTGCGTGAAGAAGTTAGTCGTTTTACTGGTTTCGCCGTTGCCTGAACGTAATCGTGTGTGATATACTTCTGATGCTTTAGAGTATTAGTTGTTTTTTTTTTTGCTAATTGAAACACATTGGGTACTTGGTGTTTCGCTTCTACAATTATGGATCTGTAGGGGGGAAGCCTGCAGGTACCAAAATGGTAGTTCGGGGCGATCCAGGCGTGCCAGACGAGGTGGCGAAATAATAAAACTGTCTATGAGCTTATTGGCTCTTATGTATAGCGTGAGAAGTAGAAATTAATTCTGTGGTTATGGAACCGTATAAATTTGATATAAATGCAATCGGTTATGACAGTATTACGACACATGTATGTATAGGAGGAAGTTTGGTAATCACGCAAGTTTGCTTATTATTGTTCTTATAACAGGTTCCGAGTACACTTGATAATTATTAGAGAATAACAATAAGGAAAATTGCGTGTTTACTGAAATTCACATATGTAGATGCATTGTAATAGAGACCAGGCTGAGGAATTTGAAGCTGGGTACCTTCATGTAACCGCTATATTTCTTTAAATTAATATTTTGAACTAGAATGGTAGTGTGGCTAGCAAAATTCACATACATGCATTGTAATAGATGACTTGAGGTCGATGACTTGAGAGGTTTTCTACCTTCACGTACCTAGTATACAGTCAGTCCCCATAAGTATATTCGTACCCTCTATGGCTATTAAAGAAATTCATCTAAATTAAATCATGAGTTTGACGTTTCCAAATAAATATTTCATGATAAATATTTACACCAAACAAACTTTTCACATATATATTAGGTTGTCCCGAAAGTTTCTTTCGCGAGTTGCACTCAATTATTTAACGTGGTCGTGTTTATATAAATAGACAATCTAATTTCATAGATATTCATGTTGTAACAGTATTGGAGCAAAATGAATCGTGCACAATTCAGTAATGAAACATGAAACATAAAATATTGTGCATGTATTACTTATTAATAAAGCGAAAGAAACTTTTGGGACAACCTAATATGTTTATATTGAATATTTATTTGGTAACATCAAAACTATCATTTAATTTAAACGAATGTCTACAATAGGCACAGAGGGTACGAATATTCAAACTAGTATTTTAATCTAGAATATTCAAAACACCTTTCTTAAACTGACCAACTACTGGTCCTTAAAATTCTTCAAAATATTTTTGACCAAGCAGAAATTATTCCTCCGTCCAAATCGAGTCTGACATGCCTGTTTCGCGCAGCAAGGTGTCTTTAGAACGTGTACTACCTGGTAGGCTTCGTATTCCAAGTAGTCCGCGTCGCTCTTCGCCTCGTCCTCGTCGTTGATAGGCGACGGCAGCTGATTACCCACGTTCGATGTCTCCTCGTGCAGGGTGGTCATTCGTAGACCCAGTTTAGCGCCGACCATGTTCGGGGATGCTAAAACGAACAAGCTCGTGTTACCGAAACCCGCGCGATCGCGACGCGAGCGAGTGAAAAATTGCGATAGCTTTATGGAACATCAGGGCCGATCTGGCCACTCCAAAGACAATCAATCGAACACCGATTTCGTGGTTTCGGTAGTCTCTCTCTCGGGTTTTCGACATACATTCTACGTAGCCAGGTAAATGAGTCGATTACACTAAAGGTGCCAGGTCGGTTCTGATACAGATTCGTGGTTGTACAAAAATATCGAACAAAAGGAGGGCCCATGCTGTTCCTAAGAACAAAAATGGATAATATATTCCACGTATTCGACTAACTTTCCCGGCAATTGGTACAGTCTCTATTTTTTTTGTCGTCGATAGTAGCTCGATGACTCGGACGTTCGTCTTTCCACAACACTTCAGGTGTTTTCGAATAGAATGTTGTCTCTATGTGTAATAATTGGACTGCGAATGTTTACGCAAAGATGAAGAATAGAAACGTGATTCAAAGCATGTTTTGTTTTCTGAATGTTTCAACGTGTATTTTATATATTTACCCATTATTATATATATTGGGTTGTCCAGAAAGTTCGTGCCAATTTTTAAGAAAAATTCAAAGACACGTTTAAATTTTGATATGTATGTATTGAATCATACAAGTACCATTTTAAAAAAATTGACATGGACTTTCCAGGGAACCAAATATTTTCATTCATCTACATTTGCTGCAATTGCATGAGTATCCGCAGTCCAGTAATAATGGTGTGTCAGTCAAGGTTACGTTTTATTCAGTATGCGAGTTAGAGCGTTGTAGTAAAATATTAGGGTTAGAAGAGGAAGCGCATACGTGGAATATAAGGCAGCCTGAGAAGTAAACATAAAACAGAGCCGAAAAGGTACAAATCATTGGTAAGCAACGAAAACACCAAACACATATGGAACTACGCACTGCGCCTTTTTGGAGGCACAGTAAGGCTGCAATTCCAAAACGACAACTACAGTTTCGATTAAAAAAAAATTATAAAAAAATAACAAACAAATTAAACAAAAGGAGAGAACGATACTTAACAAAACTGAATTACGGATTTAACAGTATACTTGTACTACGTAATGGTCGAACTAAGGAGTAAGGAAACCAAAGAGTCTACTAATCACTACGAGAATGATCGAATGGACTCTTTCAAACTTGCTAGAAGTCGGTATTTAAAAATCCTTCGTCGAACTGTTCACTTGCAAAAAATTCACTGGGAGGATCCTTCTTTGTTAACACGTTGACTGCTAAACTAGCATTCGCGATACAATTGAGAAGTGCATAATTCAATC